ATATGAGTTAGTTTCAGTGAAGGAATGTTTTAATAAGGAGAGGCAACTGAACCAGCCTTCTGCAACCTTGTGCCTTCCAAATGTGTTAGATCAGTGGTCCTCAACCTTGGGCCTCCAGATGTTCTTGGACTTCAACTCCCAGAAATCCTAGCCAGCAGAGGTGGTGGTGAAGGCTTCTGGGAGTTGGAGTCCAAAAACATCTGTAGGCCCAACTTTGGGGAACACTGTGTCAGATGGCTTCTCCCAGCATCTTTAGCTAGCCAGCCAATGGAAAGGGATCCAGGAGGGCAGAACATGTGTAGCATGGAAGGCTTGGAAAGGCAGAATGCAACTCCATCAGTTTTACCCTAAAAAAATTCCTCAATTTTTTTTTCTTGCCTACATACATATTGTCCACAGGTGCCAAGTGCCTTTTAGGTAGAAAGGTTATTGATACACTTAAAAGTATAATCATCTCTTACCACAATAACCGATTGAAATGATGCATTAAACCATAGTTTAAAATATTTCTGTTAAAGATCATTTAAAATTATGTTATAAATTTTTATTAGCAATTGGGATTTTTCCCCCCTATCAAAATAGGCCTTCTCATTTCTAATCCCCGAGGAGATTTTCACAATGGATCTACAAGAGGGGATGGAAAAAATAAAATTAACAATACAGACATTTACGACCTTCAAGAATACCTTCTCTACATATCAAGAAAAGCTTGTGTGTGATCACCGTAATGAATCAAGTGTGAAACCATGGGACTTCCCCTCTGATTTGGTGTTTTTTAGATTTGATAAGATCCTTCAGAGGTTGCGGCACATTGAGGTAAGGTATCTTGATTGTAATGATTAGCATCCATTTAGACAGTTGAAATTGAAATTCAAGGTATGCCTTATAAAAATGGGTGTAGGTGACACCTCCTTGACTGATCTGAACAGATGCTTTCTCTTACAGCCTAATCTTCTCCATGTGCTTAGGCAATTTATTTAAACAAATGCATTCTGCCACATAATTTTGCGGCAACAGGAGCTCCCGAACTGTCAGTCTTGCCCCTTTCTAGGACACTCCATTTCATCCTCTTCTCTTAACGTTTGGTCTTTTCCTTGAACAAATATTCAGAGGTCTCTGGCCACTGGGCTGGCTTTTATTTATGTTTTTGCAGAGGTGGTGATAACCTTAGTTTTTCCCCTCCTAAAGACTGTAGGAAAAACTCCAGATGAGAGGTCCCTCGCTCATGGTAAGGCACCTCTATTTAATTCTGATATCACAGTGCTACTCTGACAGAATAAATTAGGGATGCACTTTGGATTCAGAATTTATTCATAAAATTGAGCAAATATTTGTTCCTGAACTGATCTGAAACAAAGTAAGAAAGTCTGAAGCAACACGGCAATAAAATCAGGGTTCTCAGAAGGGCTGGATTTTACTTTTATTCATTTTTGCACTTTGGAGATTAAAAATCTAGACTAGCAGCTTTCATTTCAGAGGATCCAGAGGTGACTGATAACAGCAGGACAGATTTATGGAAGGGTGGGAGCTGGGGAAAGAGTAAACTGATAGTAAAAAGGAACTGGTAAATCGACCAAAGCTGTAGGCATGGAGAGACTGTAGTCCCAGGACTTTCTTAAGGGGTGAGACAGGAACAAGTCTCACAACCTGGCATTTCTCTTTCAAAAGAAGCTGGACACAGACCTAATAAACAAAATGCTTTTTCTAAAACATAGCTAACACAAGGGCAATATTTGTGACCTTTTAGAAACCTGAAAAGGCCAAGCTGAAATGCATTGGGTTTTTATTTTGAAACAAAGTGCATACTACAGTTTTTACATCCTGAGACGATGGTCTCTCCTTGCCTACAACTATGGATTATTGGGTCTGTGACCGCAAAATAAATACTACTACTACAACAACTATGGAGTAATTTGCACAGTTCCCAGTGGGTGTGAGAGGAGGAAAGGAGGAAACTCATGGGATTTTTGCCTGTACATTGGAGGTTGAGCAGTAGTTGATGGCACCGAGTCTCACTCCCTGTTCAAGATCAGAGTCCTTTATTTCTCCCATTTTCATATTTTTATCACTTTCAAATAGGTAGAGAACTCCCCCTCCCGAGGGCATTCCACTAGGCGAAGGAGTTGTGGTACTATACTCACCACCCTCTGAAATCCAGGCTGGGTGAAACCCAGAGGGTGTGTGAATTAGCATTACGGGCAAGCTTCTAACCTAGATTTTCCACCTAGCCCCTTACCTGAGACAGAATTCTTTCTGAGTGTACATTTTGAACCTAGCACCTCAATCAGACAAAGTAGACTACCCAAAATGATAAACTTAGGGGATGCACCCTCTTGGCCAAGGCACCTTCGTTAGACACTCAAACCCCCTTTCCCCCCAAGGATCAGACTTTGGTAAAAATTGTAAAAAAAAAAAGTTTATTAAAGTTACAAAAAGTATAAAGAATTTTAAAAGGTAGCAATGCATATTCAAATAATTAAGTGAGCTCCATGAAAGCATTCCTCAGAAAATAACAAAAGCTAACTACTTCTGCCTAAAAACTATTCACTAACTTAAGCAATCATGACTGAATTTTTCCTACAGCATCTCTATGCTTAATTCATCATCTGTAGCAGACAGATGAAAGGCCATCTAGCTTGACAAAAAGCAGCCTCCAACTAGCTCTTGCTAGATCTTAAATCCATGTTATCCCAACATGATGTTATCCAAGGAGGTTCAAGTCCTTTGTCCAGTAACTTCACCCTCAAAATGTAACTTCTCTCAACTCCTCCCTTCAGTTCTCATGAGAATATCTGCTAACGAGCCATTAGAAATGGAATGTCATCTCTCTGGCTCAGCATGGTATGTCCTTGGCACAAACTGGAATAGAGCACAATAAATCTCATGCAGATAAACATCACTGATGAAGTACAACATAACCCATCTGATTTCCTCACAAATATGTATAAATACATCAAAGTATTCAGATATAAATTGAATCTGAGAACTACAAATCAACTCAAAGCAAAGTGGCTATGATATGTAAAATCAATAATTTGGACTGAATTGAATGTTGTATTTGCACACTCCTATACAGTATTAAACTTGTTCTGTCAGTTGCAGTTTTATTTCTAGCTTATAAGAGGCAGCATCACCTAGCAACTGGTAATTTGTATACGTAAATCATTCTTAAGTTTGAAATTAAAATTTGTCCAAAAACATTAAATTTTATATTTTCTTTTCAATACTTCAAAAGTATCTTAATTTTGCCTGTTGTGTATTAAGACAATTACATACATATAACAGCTTTGATGCTAATTTTTTAAACATGATTTTTTTAAAAAATAAAACTTTAAAATTCAACTGAGGACATTTATAATATGGACAGTTAACTTGACTGAATATGCTTGTAATTTAAAGGAGATTTTTACAGCCGCAATTGATTTCCTCAAGTTGGAGAAAATTGAAATTGGGGGACCGAGAGGAAAATTTCTCAGTGAGGAGATTCACTGCATGAATGAAGAATTCCTTGAAAGCTGGAAATTTCTCCAGGAAAGAAAATATGATCCTCTGGACTGCAACAACCTGGTAAACATTAGTCGATCTTGTGAACTGAAGTGCCCTTGCTCACTCGAGAAGGCATAGACATGTTACCCAGGTAGGCGTCTTCCTTCTCTAGCCAGGGCTGCTGGTTTATAGTCCCAGCCAGGAACTGATCAACCCCAGAAAGCTCCATGGAATTTCATATAATAGGGTGGGTCATGTAATGCTTGTAGAACAAACTAGGAAATCCAGTGTTGTCTCCAGGTTCGAGGCACCCCTCTCTATATGCTTTTAAATGAGTGGTCCCACACAAGGTCTAGGGAGAGCCTTACTCTACAGGTATGTCTGAATAGCTGAGATCTTCTTAAACTGTAAAGTTTTGCCCACCACTATATTTTACTTTTCCACAGAATGAAACAATACCCAGAGCTTTGTATGTAAAGTGAAATGGTGGTAGCTAGCAGAACAGTGATACTATAACCCCACCATTCTAGGAGAATGAAGAGTTGGCATATGTGATATCTATGTGGACGTCCTAAGGTCCTTATAGCTCGCAACCCCGCTGCAGTTTTGTATGGTGAGGATTCAGCTTGCTGATACTGGGTCTGGAAAAACAATTTGTTTGCTGTCCTTGAGACATCAGGAAACTGTACTTTGAAACCAGGATTTTAAAGCAAGGCTGAGTTTACCTTGTTGAAGTCTTGTAGCTTTGTAGCATTCTCAAAACTTCTAGGGTTGTTGAACATAATTCCAGATAGATTGACATTGCATGGACCATGAAATCCCCAAAGGAAGACTTTAATCAATGGTGATTTGCCGGTGCTGCTGATGTTATCAATGATGTGCAGGCAAAACTGTACAACAGGATTTCAGCCATTATTTGTCAATGTAGATACTTCACACATTCATCTGATTATTATCAAATCCTGTAGAGTCAAGTGATAAGGATGCATTTGTAAATGGTCTGAAATGTATTGTTGTGTAACTCAGAGCACTGGGGTTCTATGAGCTAGTAGGATAGCACACCTACTTAGACATTATGGGACACAGAGAGGCTGCCCCAATAAAGGTTGAAACTAGGATGTATGCCATGTGAAACACAACATGGTTTCTTCCCAATAAAGGAGAGTCCCACTTTCTTTTATCAACAAGAAAGAAGCATCAGTCATCCACATTGCCATGAACCACTCTCACCTACTAGCAAGTCAAACAAGTGTCACAAAGTCTCCCTAGGGATCCCTGTTATATCTACCCAAAAATCAAGCCTGAACGGATACTTATACGAGGTCAGTAGATGCAACTATTTTGACCTGATGAGCTTTGTTTTGGAAAAAAAGAAGAAGAAAAAAGAAAGAAATGAGTTAGTATGGCCATCTCAAAAACTGACTGCAAATGTGTTTCCGATGCAGGAATTTCTGTCCGACTATGCAAAATACATTCAGCAGATTAACGACTTTGATAACTGGTTGGGGACAATACTAAATCTTGCCTTTCAAGAACCAAAGGGACTTGAATCAGCTTTTAAGGTAAACTTTTAAAACTAGTTTGAATTTTCTTTCAGTCATGCTTTCATTGAATTGAAATTAATGAGACAAGTTATTTAACACTAATTTAAATTCTTACGTGTCTATCTGTCTAATGTAGTAAATTAAGCTTCAGATTTTGTATGTTAAAATTACAAACAGGATAGAATATGACTATTTTTTTAAAAAAAACTTTCAAGTATACTTATAGCCAGCACTGTTATGGAGATCTATATCATCCCTTGAACCTTAGGGGTACTGTGTACTTTCAGCCCTACACTTGACTGCCTCTTTAGTTCATCCTCATTGTCTATCCTCAATTGTGTCATCTCTTCTTCCCTCTCCCTCTCCCTTACCCACATCTTAGAGGTATGAATTACGCTTCAACAGTGCAAATTAGGCTTCACATGGATTATTGACAATTCAGATTGCATTTCCAATGTGTTTGTAATGTTCTACAGCTACGGAAGTTAGTTCTGCTTATCCATAGACAAGGTTTTTGTGTGTGGTTAAGAAGCTGGATCACTATAACAGATTATAGACCACATTTTGTAGGCAGGACACTAGGACCAGGAAGGAAGGATGGTTTGCCAAAGGGTTACTCACTAAACTCAAGGCTGCTCTGGATTTGAAATCTGGTCTCCCTTTTCCAAATTCTACATATGGAACATATCCATACACATTTAGCTGTCCGAAAAAATCAAAAGATAAAAGCAAGCAGAGCCATTGTACTTTGTAGTTATGAAGAAGAAGATTTAGAGGCATTGTGGAGAAGGGGGGGGAATCCCACCCCTGAAGCCATATACTTTTCAAGGGTTGCATGGGATTTAGCCACACAAATCCCATTAAAGTCAATTGGGGTTATTTGAGTCAGTGGGAATTGTATAGCTAGATCGTTTGCCAAACCTCTGAAAATCTAAAGGCAAATGGAGGAAACCAAATATAAAGTGTCAGAGAACAGCATTACATGAGAACATTAGGAAAATGTTTTACAAAATGGAAAAGCTGATGGAAAAGAGAGGAAGGGAGGAAAGGAGACGGTTGAGTCACTGCGTTAGGTAAGAATCTGAAAGCGAATGCTTAGGGTTTCAGAAAATACAATTTCATCAAAAGCTGAAGGAAAATGAAAAGGAAGACAGCAGGTGTAATTGCTGTGAGGAACTGTTTCCTGCTGAGACAGGAGAGTTTTACCATCAGCTCTGTAAGAAAACATCCAAGCAAATACAATAAACATAGAAATAAATGTATCATGAAATCAAGAAGGTAGGACAAAAAGGCTTGACATATGCACCGGAGAAGAGGCAGAGCAAAGGGTGAACAGGATGACAGTGGGAACAGAGAAGCGAGAAAATTACCTCTCCATGGCGCCCTACAGGAACAGGGGAAGAGGACAAACAAGGGGATAAGGATACTTAGAATGTAACTTCAAGAGTATATTTAAGAACAGAGTGCAGAAAAGAGTACAAGCTGCATAAGGAATACGTTGGCAGAGGACTGAAACCCGCTTCTCCAAAGTCTGCAATTTGGAACAAAAGCTGAGGGTTACCATATGTCCTTGCTCATGTGTGTAAAAATGCTGTGTATCTAAAACACGCTTGACTAGAGTGAAAATACGAGACTCACCACAGAGGTGTAGTATGAATACGGCAGAATATATATCATAATGTGACAAGGTGGGAAAATTTTTTCTAATTAATTGATTCGTTTTCTTTAAAATATTTTTACCCTGCCATTCTCCTTGAAAAGGAGCCAAAGCAGATAAACAACGTTGGAAGACAATATTTAAAGTTGAAAACAATGACAATGATGGTTAATATCATGAAAAGACAATATTTTAAGCTAAGAACAATGAATACAAAGAGGCATCTTACATCATTAAGAGGCAATAGAAAAGCTAGGAACAATATCTATACAAATATTAAAGAGAAAGAAAGAAAAAAGGTCACTCTGAGAAATGGAAAACCCAAAAATGGAAAACACAATAACAGTCCCTCTAAAATCACACACAGCTGATTTAACTTCCCAATAGAAGTTCAGATTGAAGTAGATACGTTTCATTGTGCTATGAACAGCCAAGAATCCAGTGGTGCATGTCCACCGCCTATCTCATACAACCCCTTTTAAAACATCCGCTCTATACAACAAGGCCATCTTTTTGGATCAAGTTTCTTGGCACCACCTGGCTGGTTGGATAACTCAACGAGTTACGTATCTGGCTGTAGAGCCAGAGATTGGGAGTTCAATTCTCCACTGTGCCTCCTGCAAATCGATTCACCCTGTGTGGCCTTGGGCAAGCTGCATAGTTCCAGAGTGCCCCCAGAAGAAGAGAATGGCAAACCACTTCAGAGCACTCTCTACCTGGAAAACCCTGGAAAAAAATTGCCATAAGTGAGAATCAACTCAACGACACATGATTTACTCTTGGCAGCACAGAGGACTGCAACTGGAGGAGGAAGAAGGAACAAAGTCTCAACTCAGCTGGGGCTCGATACTGAAAAACACAAGTGAAACTTCATGAATGTCTACTGAAAGGAAAGCATTTGATAGTATCACCTAGCATTGGCTCAGCTGATGGCTCACACCAGGGATGGAGCAAAAGCAGACAAAGGCAGGAAGTTATAAGCAAACCAGAAATGGCCAGAGAGAGTACTAAGAGACATGTGAGGAGGCATTTGGAGGCCTAAAGGAAACAGGATACCTTGAGTTTCCATGGTAAGACCTAGCCACATGTGGGAAAGAGGAGGTTTAGAATGATAAAAAGACTGGAGAAGGAGCAAAATCAAAACAGATACATTTCCATGTTCAGTGGAACACAAAGGGCTTCACTTTCTAATTGAAAACAGCCACTTGGATGCCCACAGTATGCAATGGATATCTGTAATCATCAGTGCTTTCAGACACCATTTTCCCTTCTCGATTAAACATTAGGCATCCTTCAGTCTCAAGAGACGTCCCCGGTCCAACTCCCTGATTTGGCTGGTTTCAGGACTGCCTCTTTGCCTCAGCCTGCTGGACAAGTGTCTCTTCAAATTGGGAGAGGCCATGCTGAACGCTCAGATGTCAAGGTTTCCCATCTGTTGAGGTCCGTTCCTAAGGCCTTCAGATCCTGCTTGCAGATGTCCTTGTATCGCAGCTATGGTCTCCCTCTGGGGCGCTTTCCCTGCACTAATTCTCCATATAGGAGATCTTTTGTAATCTGACCATCAACCATTCTCACGACATCCCCAAGCCAACATAGATGTTGCTATTTCAGTAATATATACATGCTAAAAATTCCAGCTCAATCTAGGACAACTCTATTTGGAACTTTGTCCTGCCAGGTGATACCAAAAATGCATCGTAGACAACGTATATGGAACATGTTCAACTTCCTCTTCTGTCGTGCACAAAGGGTCCAGGACTCACTGGAGTACAGGAGTGTGCTCAGGACACAGGCTCTATAGACCTGGTATATGCGGTCAGCTTCTTATAGAGCCATACTCTCTTTGTGAGTCTTGAGAACATGGTAGCTGCTTTGCCAATGCATTTATCCAGCTCGACATCTAGGGACAGAGTGTCAGAGATCATTGAGCCAAGGTACACAAAATCGTGAACAATCCCCAATTCTTGTGTAGAGAGAGGTGAGTCCACGCCCTGGCCCATGACTTGTGTTTTCCTCAGTTTGATTGTTAATCCAAAATCTTGGCAGGTCTTACTAAAACAGTTCATAAGTTGTTGGAGCTCTTCAGCAGAATGGGCAACAACAGATGCATCATCAGTGAAGAGGAAGTCCCACATGCATTCCAGCTGGACTTTGGTCTTCGCTCTCAGTCTGGAGAGATTAAAGAGCTTTCCATCTGATCTAGTCCAGAGATAGGCATCTTCTGTTGCAGTTCTAAGAGCGTCCTTCAGCATGACACAGCAAAAAAGATCCCAAACAGAGTCAGTGCAAGGACACAACCGTTTCACTCCGCTTTGGATGTCAAAGGGATCTGATGCTGAGCCATCAAAAACTACAGTGCCCTTCAATTTCCTCATGAAAGGACCTGATAATGTTAAGGAGTCGAGGTGGACTTCCAATCTTGGGAAGGATTTTAAAAAGGCTGTCCCAGCTAACCAAATCAAAAGCCTTTGTAAGATCTATGAAGGCCACAAAGAGTGGCTATCATTCCCTACATTTCTCCTGCAACTGTCTGAGGGAAAATACCATGTCGGTGGTGGATCTATTAGCTCGAAATCCGCAGGCCTCAGTTAGCATGTTAAA